TGGATCTGGTTGCTGTTCTGGAACAACTTTGCTTTCTTGTCCATCCCAGGCTCAAGAGAAACAGAATCTCGTAAGTAATATAAATGCATACATCTTTGCTAGAAATGGAATTTCTTTGAAAAAGAGCCCAGTCACATTTTTAATTGTGTCCTAGGTATATAGAGACGCTAATGGGAAATGCCTCTTGTTTTCCAAGGAGAAGCTAATTTTAAAAGGTGGATCATGTAACTGCTAAGTGATGTGACCTGAGCAGCCAAGAGACCATTACCTGATTCACCCCATGTTAATCTGTATGTCACCCCTTCATTAAATATTGTCTCTTGTCAATTCGCGCTACCAAATCCACTACAAATATATACATGCAATTAAATATTTTTTTTCTGAGAACCAATTTGTTGAATTGGTTGTAATTCAATCATTTGGAAACAAAAGTGCTTAAAACATCTTAAGTTGGTAACAGATTGGCATTAAAGGTTTGATGTTCTTTAGACTGCTATTCCTTTTCCCGACTGCTGTTTTTTTGCTTAGCTGTGCATAGACATTGAATATAATGATTTGGTGAGCAAAAATGGATAAATGCCATTATCCTGTCAAGTGGGAAGGCACTTAGTTTCTCAGTTCTGGAAGGCCTCTGCTGCTAACTCTGGAGTCATTTTCAATGTTTTTAGCAATTTATTTTTTTTAATCCAAGTGAACCAAAAGATCGGAATGTTCCTTTGCAATATTTAGCACTTGAATGAGCCTTTTGTAAGGAATCACATCCCTTCAGTTGTGTCCACAGAGTATAGTCAATATGGCAGCCATAACCGGATCAAAGTTATGCCCATTTTTATTTGGGCACAACTTCAAATGTACAATTGTGGATGTCATATTGAATGCTTTGTCCACACCTGCAGATTCCACTTATTTCTTTAAGCATTCTTTAAATTTTGAAAGGGTTTTTATGTTAAAATGGCAAAACAACATGGGAGGCTTAAAAGAAGCAGTTAGAGGAACAAGTTGGCTTTGGATTAAAAAAATGTTCCACCCATACAGTATTTCTCCTTCTCCAACAAAATGTAATCTGAGCTCTGAGACTACAGGAAGTTCTCCAAACTGTTAAAAAATAATTCAAATCCATCAATGGTTGAAAACACATTTTTTTCCTTTATTGTTTTGGTTAATGGGGGAAATAAGATACAGAGTTCATTTATTTGTTAATCTTTTACAGTTAAACTGCAGCAGAAACTATGCCTTCAGAACAGCCCTCAAAATAAATGTTAAAGCGTGTATTTAGGGGTGCATTTTATCCTGGGTTTTTACATTTTCCAAAGGCAGCAAGAATTTTAGCCTTAAAACTCAGGAATACAATATAGTAGAGGCATGTAACCAATACACTTAATATTAACCTGTGTAAAATGCTGAATAGGAAGTGCTGGACAAGGAGATGAAGTTTATCAAGAGAAGGGGAGAGGGTGTATTCCCACACAGTATCAGATAATGTCATTTCCCCTTGTACACAGGCATTCTGATGAGCAATATTCCTTTCTTCTTATAAAATGTTGCTGATGTTGCTTCTTCATCCACAGACACTGGAAGATCCACCTGCAGCCTGTATTTTTCAAGGCACTCGACCAAGACATCATCCTGAAAAGACGATGCAGGGAGACATCTGAGATTCAAATGGGGCTGGCTGGCAAAACTGGAGGGGTGGAAATAATATGCAACTTGTAGCTGCCTCACCTTAGAGATACTCAAATTACACTCAGACACACCGCAAACATCTGGCAGTTCAATTCTCAGCTCAATTTCTAGGGGGTCCTCATCTGCATCCTTCTTGGTGGTCATTTCGTAGGCAGGTTTGTGCACCTCTGGCTTGTCTGTGGTGGAAATCTCTTCAATTAGATGCTTTTTGGAAGCTGTGGGGTTCTCTGGCGGCAGAATAAGGCCACTGCTGTCTTCGGCCATGAGGCTTCGCAGTTGGTTGAGTGGCACTTCTTCCCAAGAGGATTTTCAGACACAAGAGTTTAGACAAATAAGTGGAGCGCATTGCTACAGAACAAAAGCATCATTACATGGCAATAGCACTTAGACTTGTAAACCGCTTCACCATGCTTTACAGCCCTCTAAGCGGTTTACAGAGCCAGCATCTTGTCCCCCAACAGTCTGGGTCCTCATTTTACCGACTTCAGAAGGATGGAAGGCTGAGTCAACCTTGAATTGGTCAGAATCGAATTCCTGGCAGTGGGCAGTCAGTTAGCCTGCAATACTGCCTTCTAACCACTGTGCCACCGGGGCTCCTGCCTCTTCTCCCATTTCCATTGTTTGCAGTGATGTTTGCAGTTACGGTCCACTAAAATTGTTAACTGATGACAGAAATCTTAGCTGCTACAATTGTGCAGTTAATCGTATATCGGAATGAAACACTTCTGTATGACGTTCACGCACGCTTTTCAACACTTGTCTGTAGAGAAAGCCATCCCACCCATTTCAAATAAAGAGGACAACTCTTTAGGTAATACTTGCCAAGTGCATGTTTTATAAATATTTTTATTTTTTACATTTCTATATTCCCTTTTCATAAGGGGACACCTAGAAACAAATTCAGTGAAGAAAAATATTTCCCAAAATTAACAATTGGCAGGCAGCAAGTGCCCACTTAAAAAGAATGTTTTTTCAGTGCCTTATGAAAAGCTGGTGCAAAATACCTTCAGGAAGCAGCATATTCCTATAGTGGGGGGGGGCCATGTCCCTCGGAGATAAAATTCTCAGACGGCTCCCTTTAAACACATAAGATGAGTAGGACAATCCCCCCCCCCTCTGGAGTGGCACCTTGAACATTACCTTTGTTGGAGTTGTTCTGGGACACAGCCAAGGGGGGCTGTTCTTTTCTCAGGCTCTCCCTCATCCTTTCAAGGCTTCCTTTCAATTTAAATTTAGCCACGCTCCAGGAATGAGACAGAGTGACGTTGAAATGCTCCTCAATGTACTTGAGTGATATGTGGATCAACTGATCCTTCTCTGGTGGGTTATCCTTGACTCGCTCAAGAACGGATGGATTGTATGCGATGTCAAGGATACTGCAGATCTCTGTGAGAAAAGCAAATACAATTTATTCTTTCCTCAAATATATCCTGTCCTGAGTTTACGATTGGACTACCTGAATTATGTAAGTTTCATTCCTGAAGGAACAAAGCAATATAATACCTCATGTCAGCTTGTAAAAGTTATTGCAGTAACAGATTTTGTAATAAGAGATTACCTGAATTATCTGATAGCGTCTCCATTTTGCCAGCACTCAACAGAATTGGCTCTAAGGGTGACTTGGGAGCAGGGATCCTATTCCAACTGCAAAGATTTACGAATAGGCAGGTTTTGGTGGGTTCCTATGAGAAAAGCACAAGACAAAATAACCATCAAAACACTACATGATTTATTAAAACAGACACATTCATATAACTGACAATCAGATATTCACTGCAAGCAATGTCTACTGCTCTTATTGACTGAAGAGGTGATGGTGCATCGGGAATATTTTCACTGTCTTACTGCCTAATGCAAACAAGGAAATAGTAAATTGTGAAGTAACATTACAAGAGAGCACTTATCAAATGCACCAATGTACACACTGTACATTATTTTCAAGTCAAAGGAAGGCTTGGCATTCTGCTAAGAGGAGAAACTGTATCTGGCCCTTCATGTTTCTTCGCTGTTGCTTTACTGAATGTTGTCTTACCGAGATGCAGGTCTTCAGGCACAGCCATGGCTCTGGGGGGGCATAATGCTGCTTTGCTTCCTTTAATTGCTGCTGCATGAACTGGCGGTAACTTCCAGGATTGTTCTCGGCCATGTCATCCAGCATTGTCCACAGCTGAGTTGCTTTGCTCAGCATCTCCTCGGAGCTACAAAGAGCTTCCATGGCTGCTCCTTAACAGCAAAAAGATGCTTCTGTAGAGGCCGTCACACCGGTAAGTGAAAATACTTCAATCTGAAGTTCTTCAGTCATGCAGGATCTCTCTTGCTGATGTTAAACCTAACTGGATAAAGACAAAAGCAGATTTTTTTTTTAGAAGTCTATTGTCCCTTTAAAGGTTTTCTTCATTAGCTTCTAACATAAACTGAGTTAGGCTAATCAGGTAGTGTGTTACTTTGGCAGGCCTCCTGGCCTAGTTAAAAGCCCAGCCAGATGGAACAGAAAGGGAAGCTTTCTTTTCCCCTTGGCCTCTCCTGTACGTAAGAATGGCACGAAACAAAACACAAACCACCATCAATCCTTGGAAAGGGAACCATTACGGGAAAAGTGATGAAGGGCAGAGGCAGCCAGATTTGCCTCCAAGCGGGCAGCAATGGAGGTTCTCTACTAATGGCTGCCCTCATGGCGTTCCTCTTTCCCATCCAGCCAAGATACCTCTGGGGCAAGGCTTTTCCTCCTTGGCTATTTTAAGAGGGGTGGACTTCAACGCCCAGAATTCCCCAGCCAGCATAGCTGGCTGGGGAATTCTGGGCGTTGAAGTCCACCCCTCTTAAAGTGGCCAAGGGGGAAAAATAACTGCTCCAGAGCTCTGACCTGGGCATCATTCATGGTTCTAGGTACGGTGCCCCACTTGCCAGGGCTTTGTGCGGCCCCTGCGCCCTCCTGGCAGGGATGTGCACTCGGGCCACCTGTTGAAGAAAGAAGGGCGGCCACGGACGGCTGCGGGGGGAGGACCCTCCCACTCTGCCCCGGCCCCAGCCGATTGGCATGGCTCTCCCAACGACGTGGCCCTGGAGGCGAAGGCGCACGAGCGGTGGGACTCCCAGCCCCATCATCCCCAACCGAAGGGCGGCAGGTGCGACGAACCTCGCATTACCGGTGGATCGCCTAGGCTACGGCCACGGGCTCCGCCCCTTGGCTGCCGTTGCCAGGCGGCCGCCGGCCGCCATGGCAACCCCGGAAGCGGGCCGGCCGGAAGTGGCTCCGTCGCCTTCTGCCGGGCGGCTCGCTCGGCCGCGCTGGCGGGTTCCGGTCCTGGACCAGCCACGGTGGCGGCGCGGAGCCAGGCGCGCTCCCGTCCCGGGTCCGGCGGGGAGGGCCAGAGAAGCGGCGGCAGCACGCGGGACTTGGGCGGCGGAGGGGCGGCTTCCCGCCGGCGCTGGGTAGCCTCCCGTCGCTCGGGTGGCAAGCCCGCCCGCCAACCTCGCCCGGTAGGTCTCCGTAGCGCAGCGGCCCCGCGAGGCCGGTCGGGGATCCGGCCGCTAAGTGAGCCAGGCTCCCCGCGGCGCTCGGCGGGCCAGAGAACCGCGTGGCTGACCTGTGAGGGGGTCCCTCGGCTGGGCCTGCCCGCCTCGGCGGTTGCAGACGGTGGCAGAGAAGGAGCCCTTTCCCCCTCCTTGGTTTCTTTTCTTTTTCCTTTCTTTTTCCTTTCTTTTTCCTTCCTTCCTTCTCTTTTCTTTCCTCCCTCCACTTCTCTTTCTTTTCCGTTCTTCCTTTCCTCTCCTTCCTCTTTCCCTTCCCCATTCCTTCCTTTCCTGTCTCCGTCCTTTCCTTCTTTCCTCTTCTTTCCCTCTTTTTCCTTTCTTTTCTCTTCCTCAGTCCTTCCTTTCCTCTCTCCCTCCTTTCCTTCCTTCTCTTTCTTTTCACTTTCCTATTCCCCATTCCTTCCTTTTCTCTTTGTCCTCCCTCCCTCACTTCCCACTTTCCTTCCTTCCAGGGCATTTTCTTTGCGGCCTGTTGGGTGCAGGAAAGATGTCCCGCGTCCCCTTGGGAAAAGTCCTTTTGCGGAATGTCATTCGCCACACTGACGCCCACAACAAGGTAAGGGGCCTCCTCGCTGTTCCCATAAGCAAAGCAGCCTGGCTTGTACCTTTCCTCAGTGCCCCCCTTTGCCCCTCCATCTCAGATCCAGGAAGAGTCAGAAATGTGGAAAATACGGGAGATGGAGAAGCAGAGCCAAGAGATACGCTGGGGCAAACACGAGAGGGCCCTTCTGAACAGTTCCAGGTAGGATTTGAACATTATTAAAGCTACACCACTCACAAACAGCTGGCAGTGCCTGCCTGCGCCGCCTTCTTGGCTGTGCCTTCCCTTTGTGAGAGACTTGGCCCTGCCGTCCCGTACACGCCAATCTGGCTGCTCGCTCTGTCCCTAAAACAGAAGCGAGTCTGGCCAGTTGAGTCCTAGCCTTTGTGAAACAGGGAAGGGCAGAACTTCTGTTTTCCTAAAGACTATAACTTTTAGAAAACAATAGAGCCACCTCTGGGTCGAAAAGTGGCAGTCCTGCCTTCGGGAAGAATGCCAACTTTAGCGGGAAGATTTTTAGTTCAGCCAAAGTGGTGAATCTGGTCCCTTGGTTTATGCAGCTGGATGTCTGCAAGATCACTGGGGTGGGGGTGGGCAGTGTGGTGGATCTTGTTTCTGACTCCTCCTCCTGCTAGAGAAGCTTTCCCCACAAAGCTTACCAGTCCATCTCCCACGGCCTCTGCAGCAGCCGAATGCGTAGCGATGGGTTTGATGAGGACAGCCAGCAGAACAGCTGGAGGACAAGGAACATGCCAGTTATGGCAGTGACCATTGAAGACGACCTTCGACATGCCCGCTACTGGAACAAGAAGCTCTACGAATGCGAAGCTAACATGCCGGACAGGTACGGTCCCATAAATGGGAGGTTTCCAATAATAAAAAAAGACAACGGGTCTCTGTTCCAGTGATGTTTCTGCATAAACAGGCTATGTGTAATCTTCACGTGCTTGTTCCTTTTTCAAATTTTTTACAGATGGGGTCACAGTGGCTATAAAGAGTTGTATCCAGAAGAATTTGATACAGACAGGTAAATCCTTAAAAGTACCAAAATCCTAAATGGTTTCCTTTGGATGATAAAATAGTCCAGGCCTTAAATGTATGCATTCTGTTTGCTCTTTTCTTTACATGGTAGTCAAAAACTTTTGCTTCTATACTAGATATAATTTTCCCATCGCACTCTGGAGGAAAATTGGATATTTCAAATTACCCAGATTCAGACTCTGGTTTATAGTTTTGTTTTCTCCACTAATTTAAATTTCTATATAGAGCAGCCCATGAGTTGATGGACATTACCGTCTACCCACAAAGCCTTATTGAATCTTCTTTGATTACTAGGATAGGGCAGAGAGATCTGAAATATACCACGAATGGCTTGATAAAGTTTACTTCACCTCATTTTGTCCAATAGGGTCCCCAGTTTTTAAAATCCGAACTATAAGAAATGTCATGGAATGTTAACTGGGCTTAAGCATTTGCAGTCATGGCTCATCTGAAAGATTAGAAAACATTAAAAAAACACACAATTGTTACTTTTTTGCGAGTTTTTAACTTTAAGAAAAGGTGTCCCAAACTGAAACCCATCCTGGTTGTGTTTTGCAGTGACCGGGAACCAGATGAACAAAACTCCGTGAATGGAAAAAGAAAATCTCAGTCAGACAAGCAGAGTTCTGCGAAGCTGCACAAAAGGAAAAAGGCCAAAAAGTCACACAAAAAGAAGCAGAAAAAGAAGTCTCACAAGAAGAAAAAGAAGAAGAAACGAGAGGAGCCGCCGAGCACAGCGGCAGCTTCTTCCCAGGAGTCCGAGTGTTCGGAGGGAGAGCCCCCCAAGAGGAGGAAAAAGCGCCACGCCAAGGGCAAGAAGGCCTCAGATGAGCCTCCCGCCTCTTCCTCGGATCCAGGCAGCGGCTCTAGCAAAGCCAGCAGCTGCCTCTCCAGCCACTCTGCGGACAGTGACTCAGAGGAGCCGGCTAGGAAGAGGCGGAAACGCCAGGCTTCCCTGCCTGAAAGAGCACGGGACAAGGCACCGGAGAAGCGCAGCAAGAGGAAAAACTGGAAAGTAGCTGCTGACGAGAACTCTGAGGACAGCTCAGAGGAGGATTAGAACCCAGCTCTGGGTGGCATGACTGGCTCCAGGACAGAGCTTCCCCTCAGACATGGCACTACTTGGAACAGACTTGGATTTGGTTCCGCTGGCAGGGGCAGGGGGCAATTTATGTTTCATGTGGGCCAGAGAGAAATTTCTGGCTTGGATTCCTTTTGTCTGTCACAGATTCTAGCCAGACAACCTTCTTGTCCCCCTCGGAATGGACCTTCCAGTTGCGAAGTTCCGCTCTTGAAGACAGAAGGAACGATGGATGGTTTAGTCTCCCCTTCGCCTTTGAAAATCACCTGGAGTTTGTTTTTCCTTTGCGAAGACTTGCAGGCGAATTGCAATAAAAGCATGAGGGAGAGAGGGGAGGTGTTCCCCAAGCAGGTAGACAGGTATCCTCTCCACTTTGAACATGCCCTCTCCTCTAGAGGGAGGTCGGGGCAGACTGGCTCGGCAAAAACCAAACACTGTCCCACTGCAGTCTCAGGGTAGACTTAACTAGTCACCTTGTGAAGGAACGGAGACCACTGCCTCTCCATACCTGGAAGAGTGCAGGTCATCCTATCCATTAACTTGCCCTTGTGGGACTAGATCTTGTTTCAGCTGGCTGGGTTCTCTTCTTAAATGCTCTCTTGCTGCCAGAAGTTAATTCCAGAGAAAATGCAGCCCTCTCCAGCTTCTTGTAGCCATTAATCGGATAAGTGATGGGAAAGGATCTATCTTTGCGTACAGTACCAAATTAAGAGCCATATTATTGGGGGGGGGGATTTTTTTCTTTTTGGTAAAGCTCTTCCTGGCTTTCTAATGCCTGTTAAGTGGCTGTGGAAGGATTCACTAAAGAACATTCCCAGCATACAGCCCAAATCACATCTGTCTCCTACCTCCCTGGATACTGCTATCAACTGCAGTTCTGCAAGAGACTGGGCACCCTGGCACAGAGTTCAAAGCTTCCTTAACACACTGTACTTCCTGAAATATGGGGGAAACAATGAGATTAACAAAACAAGAGATTTGCTAAATATGCCTTTTGTCCATCAAAAATATACTAAGCAGGATTGTCAAAAACGTAATACACTTAACACAGAGCAGTTCTCTGTTTTTGGCCATCCCCATTTCCCCTTCACAAAATTTTGTAAAATACTCACTTTAGCCTTCTGCCAGCTCTGTATTTAACACTTTTTTTTTCTGGTCTCCCCAAACAAATTTTTCCAACATTAAATGTCTGTGGAATGATCCTGATCTAAAACTTAGAATAAGCTGGGCTTTTTTTTTATTGTTTGTGTACAGGGATATAAAAAGTATTTTTGGAAATAATTGTTGCTATGAGAAGCAAAGCCATTGAAGTTATTTCTATGAAAATCAACTTATTTTTTATACATACAAACTACAGGCATGAATTGGTTTAAATGGTCTGAAAAAATAAACAATGTTGACTTTAGCCAAAAAACAGGCAATTTTAACTGCATTTCTGATTTGTGGTGTGGGAGCAAAGGTTCATAGGTTACACTCAAAGGAAGTGTCTGGCATTGAAAAAAATCTAAAGGATAAGGAATTTCAGAGAGGCGAGGGTGGATTTTTTTCTATCTTTCCTTTTTCAAAAGATAGCACTTGACTTGTTCTTCTGACTGAAAACATAGGTCCCTTTATACATAACTTTATAGGTCAGAGTGCTGTTTTCTAATCAGTTGTGTGAATTTAGTTCATGTGTTTGTTAATGGGTTGGTGTGTTGTGCAAAGCCAACCAGATTTATTCAAGAAACCATTCTTCATTTAATAATCAATTTTCATTTTGTTCAAAAATACCCTTAGTGAAATAAAATGTTTGATTGATCTCCCCAGTGTTACTGTAAGCTTAGATCACAACAGAATGTGCTAAAAGATTAAAGGAGAATAAATTACATTTCTCTGGTACTGATATTAATAGCAGCTTCAGATCCAGCCAAATCATTCTGTCACAGCATTACTGGACTAAATCTTTATATCCCCTTGTGAAGAAAAGCAATATTATACTCCTTTCATTTTATGTGAGCTTGTTTAACACCATCGGGGTGCATTTACTTCTGCCGCTGCAGGACAGTAGTCCAACATTGCCATACCAAGTCCACTTGCTTGGAGGTGCTCCTGATTTTGTAGCTGGCATGCTTTGTCCAGCGTCTCTTCCACAAAGTCCCCGTCCTTGCCAGTCGGGGAACTGAGGACCGATCGGCAGCTGGCCGAATCTTCCTCAGGCTGACCGGGGAAGAGGGCCCCTCCAGAGCCCGCCGGAGCCCGGGTCAGTGGCCGCCTTTCTGCATGAGCTGCGCAAAGCGGTTGGTGACAGACAAGGTGGTGTCGATGAAGCGGTTGACACAGTTGGCCAGGCAGGTCTCCGTCCGGGAGTCGAGCTTGGAGCCGGGCTTGTCCACACACTTCTCCCAGCAGACTTCCATGAAGGTGTGGACCTGGAAGGGGAAGCCAAGCAAGGGAAGGGAAGGATGCTTTGGGGTGCCCACCATCACCCCGACTTCACCCCCAAGCCTTCCCAGCCCACCTGCCCAGTCCGTCCCTCCTGGTCCCCCAAATCCCCTGCCTGCCCCCCAAGTCCCCCTCCATTCCCCCTCCCCCATCCTGCCCTCTTCCTCCTGCCCCCCAGGCTCCGGCTCCCCCTCCCCCGTTCTGCCCTCCCGCCCCGCCTTCCCCCTCCGCAGGCCGACTGCGGGGACGAGGGGGGTCTTTGCCGGCCTTCCCCCCCCCCCAGCGGACCTGGGCGGTGAGGCGCGCCCGCTGCTCCTCGGCCGCCACCAGCCGCTGCAGCTCCGCCACCTCAGCCTCCTGCCCCAGCTCGGTCGCCATGATGGGGAAAAGTGCGGCCTGGCCTGGCAGGAAGTCCCGCCTCTTGTGCCGCGCTTCCGCTTCCGGCCGATGCCCTTGCGCTGCGCCTCTGGCAAGATGGCGTCGCTGTGGCTGTGGCGGGCCGGGTTGGGCGGGCGGCCGGCGGCCGGTGAGTGGGAGTCCGCGCGGGTCCCGAGGCCTCCCTTCCGAACTCCCGGCTCCCGAGGGCCGTCCTGGGCGGAAGGGCCCCCGGGTCGCGGCCGTCTTTCCCCTCCGTTCCTCGGCCGCTCTGCTGGCTGCGAAAGCGCCGAGTCGCCTCTGGGCCGGCAGGGATGAGAGGCCGGGGACTCCTCTGGCGGTGCCTGAAAGACACGCGTCCAGCACGTGTGAATTGTGGCGGGCTGGGTGCTGTGAGGGGTACCCGCAACAGGCGCTGCGACAGCGGGTCGCATTTTAAATTTAGCCCCCACCCCACCCCCTCCTGGCTGCCTCGGCCGGAGCCCCCGAGGGTCGCTGGGCCGGCGCTGCTTTAGTCCCTCAGAGCCCCGGGACGCCCCTTTGCGGCAGCCTAGGCAGGTGCTCGCCTGGCCCAAAGGGGAGGGTAGAACAGAACGGAAATAGGAACAGAAATAGGAATAGAAACAGAAATACTGTATTGGCCAAGTGTGATCGGACACACAAGGAATTTGTCTCCGGTGTAGAAGCTCTGAGTGTACACACAAACAACAAAGTGAGAGGTCATAGATCATACATCATAGTCGCAATTATTAATCATAAGATACAGATAACGTGATAAATCATAAATAGCCAACAGGAGAAGACAGCAGGAAAGATTGTCAGGAATCGGCCTGAAGTTTCTTTTTCTTTTTTCTTTTCTTTTTTTTTGCCTGGAAATTTATCCCTCTCGTTTGGCACAGCCCAAAAGCGCATCAGGCAGCAGTTTTGCCTAACTGGAGGTGTTGTGTGTGTGTGTGTGTGTGTGTGTGTGTGTGTGTGTTTTGGAAGTTTTTATTCTGTGTGCATTTAACAGGGATCTCTGTCAGACTTGATCGTTATTTTTCCAGCACATTTGCACCAGGTTTGCTCTCTGCAAGGAAGAGTACAAGACGGCAATAAGTGTACTGCAAGGAATCATATGATTCTGTTACAAAGTGTACTGCACCATAAATTGTAATCGCATGTGGTGTACTACACATGTAGTAGTGTAGCATAGCGTGTGGACCCAGCCCATTTGTTTATGATTTGGTGTGTTGTGCAAACCTAATTCAGTGAGCTGTGTTTAAGCAAGGCTAAACATGTAAAAACATGGTCTTTCACATCTGCAGTCTGGTGTGTTCAGAGGTGTGCTGAGTGTGCAATCCGAATAATTCCATTCAACACCGCAAAGGCCACATTGGCAAACAAAGTCTTAGGTGGACTTCCCCATCACTTAACAACGTGTGAAGACTGCTCTGGGGGGTTGGAATGCTTCCAGAATCAGTAAAACAACTGGAATTTGAAGAACATCCGGTTTTGCCACCTATCTTCCATTAATTTATGGGCTGCCTCACACATTTCATGTTTAAATGATGATAGATTGGGGTCTACTTTTCTACAGTGCCATCAATGCTGCTTGATGCTTCTGAAATCCATTTTTCTGTTTAAAAGCATGTTCCAGTAGATAGGTGAGCCGCTGTTTCTTTGCTGCATTAAAGCTTGTTTTTGATTCCTACATTCTACAGCTCTGACAAAGGGCTTTTAAAAATATTTTAAGCATTGTGGTAGTGTGTTTCATACCAGTAGCGTGTAATCGGCATTAGTGGGATTTAGAGATCAAAAGTGTTCTTAATTACAAAATGAAATCCATCTATTCTGCCCTCAGTTGTCCTGAACAGGTATCTCTTGGCTAGACCAGCGGTTTCCTTGACTAGACCAATTGAGGATTATTCTTCTTCTCGTCGTCATCAGATATGCAAATTTCACACATCTGCCAGGATTTTGGGTAGGTCTCCCTTTAGTTCCTTTTTTGTGTGTCTGCTTGTTAGTCTCATGATTCATTCAACAAAGCAAAGACCGCATTGGCAAGCAAAGTCTTAGGTTCCCACCCTTGTCTCAGAGGGTGGGAAAAGAAACAGGAACTTTCTAAACATTTTCACTGTTCTTTTCTGAGCAATATCCCTGAAGGTTATGGATTCCATTGATTCAATGAAAAATCACAATTTCCTGTTCTCTGTTGTGAAAAGAAATCCATGTTCATGTCTCTTCTGTTTGAGACGTGGTTGTATTCAATTGAAAAATTGAATTCAATTTGTTTTGCTGCTTGGGACAAGGTTGTAACATGGTTGTAAATACACAACTCTGTCTCTTCTAATGCAATTGCTTAATAATTGGACCTACAACAATGTAGTTTGTTCAATTCTCAATTACTCTGGGTGGCTTACAATCAAAGTACAATAAAACCAATGAACCATTAAACAAAGATAAAAGTGGACAATGCAATGAAGTTTCACTCTTGCTTGCCAAAGCCTGGGTTTAAGAGTCCGGCCTTTGCATTTCTTCGAAACAAGAAGAGAGTGGGAGCCATCTGGATCTTGGGGGAAGCCTATTCCAGAGATTTAAATCAGGGGCCTTTTGTCTAGCAATGAAAGCATGGTGCACTGCCTCACAGCATCAATTCTTGGAAATCACAAATATTATTTGTTTAGTGTAAAGAAATAAAAAAGCAAGTTTCTATTCCTCATGATTGTGGAAATAGATTGGGGCAGATTCAGGCTGTGTGGGAAAAAGCTTCGATATTCAGAAAGCCAAGTTTCTTTTGAAGGCTGACTGAGTTCCAGTTAGGGTCCTTTACCAACACACTCTAGAGCAGGGATCCCCAAGCCCTGGTCTGTGGACTGGTACTGGGCCGCAGCATGCCAGCAACCGGTCTGCACAAGCAAGCAAAGCCCCATCCGAGGGATGCAGGCAGCACACAAAGCCACGCACTCTCCGGTCCATGGAAAAACCTTTCTCCACGGAACCGGTCCCTGGTACCCAAAATTTTGGAGACCTCTACTCTAGAGGGTCTTCCCTCTTTTGCTTGTATGTTTATGCTTCTGCCAGCTCCCTATAGGTAGCCCTCAAGTTATAACAGATTGGTTAGCTTCCAGTTGAACTGAAAAGGGAGACTTATGGCCCAGATACAAAGTTCTGATGGTTTGGCATGTTTCATTTTCATATCCCTTTGGAAAAAGGAGGGAACCTCTTAATTTGCTTTACAATGTTATTGTCAAATTGATTTGCTGCCCAATGTCACCGCTTATAGCAAGATAAAACACATACCTTCCATTTCTACACTTGGAGCGTTGCTTCTTGCTCTCAAGCACACCATTTCTCCGGGCATTAAAATGCTGCATCTGTCTGCAGCTGGTTCAAAGGCCGCCTCTCTCCACTGGACCAGCGAGCGAGCAGTCAGCATCCTCCTGCTTGGACTCCTGCCAGCAGCCTATCTGTATCCTGGAGCAGCTGTGGATTACTCCCTGGCGGCAACTCTCACACTCCACGGGCACTGGTGAGTCAGGAGGGAAGCAGGCCCACCAGACAGACCCCTGCTGTCTCTTCAGCTGGTATGGTGGGGAGTTCCAAGGGAAGAGCTGTCCTATAAAAAGGGTTGAGCTTTTGGCTGGCTGGGGAATTCTGGGAATTGAAGTCCACACACATCTTAAAGTTGCCAAGTTTTTTTGGGGGAAAGGTAATGGAGTCCCCGCAGATTTTACTCCACCAGTCGTTGCCAACTATAGGGGGTGGTGCTCATCTCCATTTCAAAGCCGTTCGGCCAGCGCTGTCCGAAGTTATTTCTGGAGTCAGGTGGCCCACACATGTCATGCAGCACTGTTGCCTTCCCCCCCCCCAAAGTGGTACCTATTTATCTGCTCTCATTTGCATGCTTTCAGACTGCTAGCTTGGCAGGAGCTGGAGCACGGATGGGAGCTCACCCCATTGCGGGGTGCTCTGGTCTTGAACCTGAACTGCTGGCTTCCCAGCCAACAAGCCTAGCATCTTAGCCGTTGAGCCCCTGCGCTACCCAAATTAGGAAAAAAAAGACAGATCTAAAAAGTGGATCAGGCTGCAAAGATCTGTTTTGTTCACACTTCTGTTTAACTAAACTTCAGTAAGCTAAACACATTTTCTCGGTGGTTGTAATTATTTTCTCTTCTGCCCTACAAAATATTTCTGTTGGGGAGTCTCTTATGGCAGTCAGCAAGTGCTGTGCCCGAGAGTTTGGGGGTATAAGAATTCCAAGGGTGTCCTCCTCTGGGTAAAGGTCTGTATGTAAGGGGAGAAAAATCTAGTCCCTTCAGGCTGCTTTCTTCCCTTTGACAGCAATGGGCAAGAATTTAGGCCTGGGAAATGGGAGCTGTTAAGAGAAAAATCTTGCAGATTAGCCCTTCCCCAGGAGTGCTATTGAAATAACATTCTTTCCTGTACTAAGCGATCACTCAGGGTTCCTGGAAAGGGTGATGTCCTCTTTTGTGGCGGGTAAGAAAGTTTTGCTCTTCTTGGGAAGTGAGAAAATGACTCAGTTGGCCTGTTGACATGTTTTGACGTCTGGCTTGCCAAAAGTGGGTTAAGGGCCTCCAAAACAAGTGGTTTTATGTTTCTCCTTTTCCTCTTGTGGGTTTCCCTCCCTTGTTTGTGGAAAGCTCTTCTTTCTTTTACAAAAGTTCCCACCCTTGAGCAGGAAAATCTTTCTTCCTTCCCAGAAAAATAAGAGTTTTCCTGTTTTCTCCCTTCAGTCATTTTAATTACCTTGTTTGTGACTGGCATTGGAAGAGGGGCCTTTGGGGTCTTCATACCAGGCCATTCATCTGAGAACTTGGGCAGGCTGCCTACGCCAAGTATTTTTAACATTCATTTGGAATCTGGCTTCCTGTAACGGAAAGAGGCTGTTTCATGGCCTGCCCTTTGGGAGAACTAAGAAAATGTTGTGCTCCATTTTCCGACTTTTATCATATTCCCCCTTCAAGCATCTTCTCAAGGTTAAATGTGACCAGTTGCTCCAATATCCCTTCGTAGGACTTAAGTTTCTAGTCCCTGGTATTCATCCTTGTGACATTTCTCAGCATTCCTTCTACCTCTGCCTGAATTCTCTTTACAGTGTGGCACTATAGTGAACAAAAGAGGACACAATCTCTAGGATGCGATTTAAGGACGATCACCTCCTGCGGTTTAGAAACAGTGCATGCACTGACGCAACCCCACGAGCCTTTCTTGTAGCTGCATCACGCTGTTCCCTGGATTTCTGGGCCAGTTGCATAATTTCCTTTTTTCTGGGTTGACTGGCATTACATTTCATCATTGTTTATATTCATACTGCCTGTTGTTATAGCAGGGGAAAACCCAGCTCTTGCTTCAACAAAGGGTTTTTTCCCCTGTCATTAGGTTAATATTTGATATATTTTTATTTTCAATTATTTAAGTTGGCTGCCCAACAGTTTTGACCCCCCTCCTGCAAACCTAATGTTTGCATGTTTGTTTGCTAAGCCGGCTGGATGAGTTTGTGCCCCTTCCCCCTCCTCCCACCTCAGCCTAACCCACCTCACAGGGTTGTTGGTATTTAGAGAGTCCCTCCTCCCCCATTACCATTCAGGCTCAGTTGAAATATTTAACTCTTGGAGCATCCAAATAGATCCCATAATTGAGAAGATGGGCTGAGGTGGGTGGAAATTGGGCTGTGGCAACTCTGGAGGGTATCATGTCTCTTTGGACCCAGGTTAAAGCTTCTGAGAGTGGGTGTGTCGTTCTCCATGGCCTTAATATGAACTTTTCAGCCCTCTGCTGCCGGATAAGCAAAAATCAGATGAAACAACTTTTGGGGAAGTGGGAATACGTTCTTCCACATTGAGGTTTCTCACTGCCCACTGAGTAATCTGCAAAGTGACTGTGAGTTTGGCCAATTCTAACTCAGCCAAGTTTGAAATCGTTTGGAAGAATTTGAATGTGTCTTCAGCCAGTTTCCTGTTTCTTTTTCTCCCTTCCCTGCAGGGGCCTTGGGCAACTTGTAACTGACTATGTCCACGGAAAGACCTCCATTAAACTGGCCAATGCTGGCCTCTACCTACTTTCGGCAGTCACCTTTGCAGGCCTCTGCTACTTCAACTACCACGACGTGGGCATCTGCAGGGCGGTGGCGATGCTGTGGAGCCTCTGATCCCTGCCAAGAGAGTCCAGCAGCTGTTCACTGCTGCCTCTGCTTCTTTACACTATTACTGAGCCCTTGAGGGTGGGCAAGAGAACAACGAAGGGCATGCTTTGCATGTAGCAGAAAGGCTGCTGGGAAACACCCACATCCATGTCCACAGCTGTTGCCATTCAGAAGATCTGGGATCTCTCACTAAGGCGAGAATTAGACCCGAACAAAGCTAGGGAAAAGCACCCAGGCAAAGCTTTGGCTTATGCTGGGAGCCTCTACAGATGGGAGGCCCTTGACCTTTCAAACTGCAGGCTCAGCTAAGCATCATTCATGTTGATAATCCCATCTTGAGTTTCTGGCTCTTTTGTTGCAAATGAATGAAGTATATACATGGCATCTTGCACAATGCAAAAGGGAAGTCTAAACTATGTACAATAAAGGATTTGTAGAACCTGCAACTGCGCGAGTCTGAAATCCAGGGTTTGCCCATTCCGTTGTCTCTGGAGATGTCAGGTTTTGTTGGGCAGATTTATTCTTTTGATGATTGAGTAAAGTTGAGAAAAGAAGTACATACTTCATTTAAATGTATCATCTTACGTTGTTTAAAAAAAAAAAGTTTTGGATATCTTTATATCCCACCTCCCAAGTTAACAACATAAACATACTATACAAAATATGCCTTGGTACTTGTTTAAAACTGATGACAAAAGTAGATCAGTGCAGAACCTGTGTGACAGGTTTGAAAAACCACCTTGTGTGGACATGTCCTGGCATGGCACTTTCAGATGTTTCAAACAAGAGCGAAAGTCCCTCTTAAAAAGTACTGATTGTGGTTTAACTGGAACATTACAGCTCATTCTGCCCCCTTATCAGTGTGGAGCTAAAACATTTCAAAGAGAAATCATGCATGCATTTGGGTCACAGAATCAATCGCCTCTTGCTCAAAGCCAGCTCCTGCACATCCTTCCTGAGGTTGAATGTAGCATAGGCTGGGAACCCGATGACTGATACAAGCTTAGAAACAATACCTTTTCCATCGTAAGATCTAGAAACTTGCTTTAGAAATAAACAGATTTCCAGAATCTGCCAAAATGGCTGTCCTGTTCTGAGGTTCACCCTCCTCTTTTGTCTTGCGTTCTCTGATTTCTCCCCCAAAATTGGTGTTTTGGCTTCTTGTTGCCGAGATTGCAATTGAGTTGTCTTGAACTCGATCTTTGTGAGATTGTGATGTTGACCTTGGCCATTAGACCTTAGCCTTTTGGAGAAAGCCTATCTTTCTCTTAGTCGGTTTTGGGAGAAGTACTGCATGTGCCCTCTTTTTTCCTGGTACCCTTCTTTTGTGTGGATCAATTTTATGATTGCAGTGTGAGAGTTTCCCTGCATTTGAAATGTATTTTTTATTATTTAATGGGCTAAAAGAATATATCATTTGAAGAAAGCAAAATAATACAGTTATTAGTAAACTTACGCGCAACTAGAATTGATTATCAAGATGATATATCCATGACAGTTTTTTTTTTTAAAATGGGAAACCTAAAATTTCCAAATCATAATCTACATTCATTTGCCAGTTAACAAACACAGGTAATCCTTGACTTTTGATCACACTCGGGACCAAAATTTCTGTTACTAAGCAAAGCGATTGTTAAATTGTGTTGCACCCGATTTTACGACCTACACAAATACATCCAACAAATAATAATAACAAAACAGCTTCTGGATTAATTTTAGTTTTTATTAAAAATATAATATCTCAATTTTTAAAATATGCCTTAGACTAAGCCTAGATAAGGTTTAAAATGTTGACATTCCATTAGTTTTATCTAGCATTTTCTGTTTGGCTATTGTCTAGTTTTTGTATTTATTGGTAATTGGTTGAGATTAGAATTTCTTACAAAGCTGTGGATATTTGTGTGGCTTTTCTTAGTGCAATTATTTACCCCACCAAATTTTAGATGCTCTTAATTAGACACTTCCACTGATCAGTTTTCAAATATCAAGCGAAGGGATTGTGTCAGAAATTTTATAATATACTTTCTAGCAATTCTAGTAAAACTAAATCAACCATTTAAAATCTGCACTTTTTCTACCACTTGCAATCTCATTTATTTTTTTACTTGGGTTTCCTTGTCAGAGAAGTGGAGCATGGAATAGCCTTGTGGATTCATCCACTTCGTCCGCCAGTTCTACTTTCTTGACCACCAGTACGGTCGTAGGGCTATCTTCAGCATCCTCAAAGGCCAGGAAATAGCCCCTTTCCAGAGCAGATTCAAACTTGTAAAATTGCCTGCTACCAGCCGAAAACCGTGTTTTGATGAAGATGATGTTGCTGGTGTCTCCTTCGATGTGGGGGGGAATTGTCCCTGCCTGAAATGGAGACCAAACCATCTTGAAAGGAATCCAAACATGGCAGGGGGGGGGGGAACTCAACAACAAAGACCACTAGCCAGAATTTCTTATCCCCCCCCCCCCAGGAAAGATCTCAAAGATAGCCCAGGATTGGGCTAAAGAGCTTGCTTGCTGCCGCAGTTGTTTGATGGGAGAGAGGCTGCTTTATATTTAAATCAATTCTGCACTTTTGTTAATTTAGTTTTGTCCCAAAGGTGCTTTTTCAAAAGGCAAGTGAACTTTGGTTTTTCCTTGGAAGAAGTTTTGCTTCTCATCTAAGAAGCTCCTTCAGTTTCAGTTCAGAAGGAGCTGCTTGGATGAGAAGTGAAAGGTCCAAGGAAAAACAAAGTCCAGTTGCCTTTTGAAAAAGCACCTTTGGGACAACCATTGACCTGGAGGACTGAGAATCTCCATAGATGTTTAATTTATGTTTTGTCTTAAACTCCATCCATGCAAGCACTTTGGACCTTTTACATTCATAGGGAGTGGGTGGAGAATTGGGAGTAACTGGAACAGGGACCAATCAGCCAATATCCAATAATACCCTAATGGCTATTATTATTGTGAACTTTATTGACTCCATATGCACAACCACCACTAAACCAGGATCTCACCTCCAGTCTGAGAACTTTATTTGCAGAGATAGTTAGGTTAATCCAGAATTCACACGGTTCACGATCTGAACTCTTTTAACATTAGTGAATCTGAACTATAGTTTGGATTAGCACTGAATCAATCTTAATAACATGATAAGAACATCCTTGGATAAGATTAAGTCTAACTCTTTTTAAACTCAGGTTTTCAAGATACATCCAAGCTATCTCAGAATGTTTTAAGAACCGGCTGTCTTAAGAAACAGAAGGCAACCTCTTTCTGCCAAACCAAAGCTATGGTAGCACTGAATTTTATAGTGGGGGGTGGGGTTATAGCCCAGGTGTCCCTTGTCTCTAGAACTTTTTGCATTTTCCATTAAGGAGATTATCAGTGATGCAATTCAACAAGTACAGAACTTATAAAATGGTGTTGATCGTGGGGGCACAATCAGAAATAATTCCATGCATATGGGATCATAAATATAACTCCTGCCTGCAGCACTTAAAACAGCTGCCTTTCCCCCCCCCCCCCAACATCACATAGTAATGCAGCCTTATAAGCCCAGAAAAGAGGTGGCTATTTTAAACAGTAACAGGGTGTCATGAAGCTGTTTCTGAATAATTTCTGGAATGCTGTACAGGCGGTCCTTGACTTATAACAGTTCATTTAGTGACTGCTTCAAATTACAACAGCACGGAAAAAAGTGACATCACCATTTTTCACACTTACGACTCTGGCAGCACACAGTCATGTAATCAAAATTCAGATGCTTGGCAACAGTCCTATTTATGATGGTTGCCATGTCCCGGGGTCATGTGATCTCCTTAGGGCTTAGGCTATCTGTATAGCCCTAGAGCAGTGTTTCTCAACCTTGACCATTTTAAGGCATGTGGACTTCAACTCCCAGAATTCCACAGCCAGCATTGCTGGCTGTGGAATTCTGGAAGTTGAAGTCCACATGCCTTAAAATGGTCAAGGTTGAGAAACACTGCCCTAGAGTTTTTATTTTTAAAACAATTTTATAGCAATGACTGTAGGCAGCCTCAGGAGGGAAAGCCAACAATAATTATAAAAACCATCCAGATAAAGAATGTCTAAGGTCACAGGAATCATTGCCAACTTACAGTAAACAATAAAAACTAACCTCTTGGCCCAACCCCAACTGACAATAGCATACCTTAAAATTCACCCTCATTTTGTTTTCTTTTTTCTCCACACACATGTGGTAAGTCTGATGGTTAAATTCCACAGTGAAGGCCACTGATAGCCCCTTTGGCTTGGTGTCTTGGTAACTGTGGATGTCAAATTTGATACCTGATACTGCAATAAAAGAACAAGAGGTTGGTTTTCTTCTTGTGAGGGTCTAGCAGCAGATAAGAGAACCTTCAAATTTGTTATCTCTTTCTCCTATGAAAGTCTGTAGGAAAGCTTCTTAGTACAAAAATTACCCAATTCATGCATCAGGCAATCTTAAAAGCTTGGTCCAGGTTTTTTAGTTTTTTTTTTTTAATCATTTGGCTAGAAGGAGAGAGCTTGCCGTAAATGATCTGGAAATGACTGGAAAAAGGCAAATCATAAACTTTCAACAGATGTTGTGGCTCATTTAAACATTTTTCCAGCCTTAAAAACTCCCTTGAAAATGTATGAAAAAAGTTTCACCCAGGAGCCCTGCCTATTCCAATAATAAATTCTTATGATGCATAAAGAACAATTTTGTAATTTATTATCTTTCTGCATCACTTTTACAAAGCTATTTTCAGTCCTGATTGCAGTGACTAATCTGCAAGTTGCTTCTCTTCTTCCCAAGTTCTTTTCTGGGGCATGAAATAGGAGAAAATATGAAAACAGAATGAGACCCTTTTAATCTGTTCAGACATTCAGAGATGCAAAACTACTATTGTACCTTTCCGAATTTCCTGGTCTGTTCTGCGTTCAAATACTGCAGGGAAATCTTCGTCAGCCGGTTGTGCGATGAGGACATGGTTATTAGGAATTCGGAAGATTTGGGCAGATTCACATTTTCCTGATGTTCTCCAGCTGTCTGTTTCTAATACTTAGAAGAAGATGATAAATCTGAGGTCAGAACAGGGAATAAATTGTCTCTTCTGGAATGTATTTACACTGTTTTTATATATATATACACACACACACGTATTATGTATGTATATAACATAATTCCTTTTTTGTCTTTGAAACGAACCATATTTTAAATAAGCCAAAATGCAGAGAAGAAAGAAACTATAGTTTGCCCATAACTAATGCTTTTTTTCATTTCGGTGAGTCTGTAATTTTTTATAGTGAAGCAAATAAAAACGGAGAAATGTCTTTGCAGTTCATGATATTAAGTTAAAGATTCCCCCATTTGGTAAAATCATACTAGAAGCAAGTGTGTAAAGTAAAAATATTGGTTTAATGTACAGATTGGGCATAGAGTCACTCAGCTTGCCCTTGGCCTGTAGTTCTAATAATCCTCTTGATTTTAAAGCAGCCGTTTACATCTATTCTTGGGGGGTCATGTTAAATCTAGAATGAATTTTAATTCAATCCTGACACTTCATTGATTTGCTTTCGTTTGTTCTTCTTGCTGTATCAGTGATCCATACTAATGAACAATCCATAGTAATAAATAATCC